GAAGTACACACCCCCCACCCACTAGTAAAACACTCCCCTCACACAGTTAACCCTTTGATTGCCTAAACATGTTAACCGATTCCTCCCCGGTTCCATTAGTACAGTGTCAGTGGTTTTTTTTTATGCACTTATCACTGTATTGGTGTCACTGGGGATGTCAGTGACCCCAAGTCAGTTCCCCCCCAGTGTCAAAATGTCCGCCGCAGTCCCGCCATAAGTCGCTGATCACTGTCATAAATCGCTGATCACCACCATAAGTCACTGATCGCCGCCATTATTAGTATAAACAAAAAAAATCCCAGTATCTTTCCCGCCATTTGTAGATGCTATAACTTTCACGTAAACCAATTAATTTACACGTATTGGGATTTTTTTTTAGCAAAGTCATGTCGCAGAATACATTTTGGCTGAAATTTATGACGAAATTTGAGCTTTAAATTTTTTTACTGGACATGTTTTATAGCAAAAAGTCCAAAATATTGTTTTTTTTTTCTCAAAATTGTCGGGTTTTTTTTTTTTATAGCGCAAAAAATAAAAATGCACAGGTGATCAAATACCACCGCAAGAGATCCCAATTTGTGGGGAAAAAAAGGATGTAAGTTTCATGTTTGTGCAGTGTTGCATGACCGCGCAATTGTCAGTTAAAATGATGCAGCGCCATAACACGCTTATGTAACTGCTTCCTGACCACCCTATAGCAGAAATACTGCTACAGGGCGGCACAGGTATGCAAAATCACATATATATACGTGATTCGTGCTCCCATGGTTTTCACACCCTCCCAGATAGCGTCAGATTGCCCATCAGTACACCAGTAACCACATTTAACCCCTTGATTGCCTGGAAGACGCTCATACACAATAAACCTCTATTGCTAGTATAGTGTCTGAACGGATCAATATCTTTGATCAGATCAGCACTATACCAGCGTTCACATTAGTATAGCGTCCCCCAAAATGCAACGTTAGTGGGATCGGGCTGACCTGCCAGTACCTGTGTTTAGCCCCTACGCTTACCCTCCTCATTCTCCCCCAGCAAGTGCAGTGTAAGTAGGTCACTGTCACTTGATACATTGCACACAAAACCGCAGTGTTGGCAGAATCAGGCCTGATCTCTGTTAGCACTTGCTGGTAAATTTTGTTGACTCTCATATACAGCAGAGTGCCAGTACTAGTGCCACACTACCTTTTGGTGAACTGTTGAGTACTAGTGGCCTAGTACTTCCTGGTCTTTCACATACCTCTTAGATTGTAAGCTCCAAGGGGCAGGGCCCTCCTAACCCTCTTGTATTGAATTGCATTGTTGCTGTATTGTCTCCCATTATATTGTACAACGCTGAGCAAACTGATGACGCAATATAAATCCTGTATAATAATAATACCAGCACTGCAGTATCACTTGGTGACCTGGCAAGTCCCATACATGTGCAGTACAAGCTGGTGCGTTGGTGAGCACAAGTATTCTCCCACAACCACCAAGAATTCGCACACACAGGCCCGTGGAGCCCCTAGTATCCTTCCGGATGTGCTTGCAAATCCCGATGGGCAGCCCACAAATTCTGCAGCACCCGTACTTCCCCCCATTCACTGCCCAACCCAGAATTCAGGTGGCAATAGCAAATTTAACTACTCCCCTTGATTTTTTTGAGATCTGTATGCGTTGATTTTGGATCAAAGCAATTTATATACACAACAGTTTATCACCGCCAACCCAGATTCAAACCTTGCCAGACCATTCGCATTGAAACCCATTACAGTTTCCAAATTTAAATTTTTTTTGGACCTAACCCTCAACATGGGCATTACTAAAAAATGAATTGTGGTTGTATTGGTCCACAGACCTGATTCATCATATGCCGGTGTTCTCCGCTGCCATGGCCAGGCATAGATGTGAGAGTATAATGTGTTTTATGCATTTCAACAACAATACACTCTGTCACCCTTGGGGTGACCCTGAATTTGACCAGCTCCACAAAATTCAGCCCCTCACAAATCACCTTAACCAAAAATTTGCAGATGTCTATACTTCCCAGCAAAAAATCTGTGTTGATGAGTCCCTCGTTAATTTTTCTGGCCACCTTGCATTCAAACAGTTTCTCCCCAGCAAGCGTACCAGATATAGGGTCAAGATGTAGAAGACCTATACTTATAAGTTTTTGATTTATGAGGGAAAAGATAGTCACATGGAGCCCCCCAGATGCCCAGACTACATGGGGAGTAGTGGCAAGATAGTTTGGGACTTGGTGTCATACTTTTTCCATATGGGGTGCCACTTATACGTGGACAATTTTTATTCAAGTGAGTCATTTGGACATTTGTACAATCTTGGAACTGGCGCATGTGGCACTGTGTGCCCACCATTGAAAGTGGGTGGATGCAGGGCGGTATAATCTAATGGTGGGCATACCATGCACTTTTTCTGGCAGAGATTTCTTCTCTTTTTTTAATTCATTGCAGCTGCAGGCATGATCCTGGTATTGTCTTTTTGTTCAGACGGCGATTGGCTTTCATTGTAAAAGCATTCCTAGTGGCTAATTAGCTGCAGGATTGCTTTTACAAGTAGTGGGAGACGATGCCCCCCTCCCCCACTGCTTTCCACGGCCTTCTCGGGCAGTCCCGTGCCATCGGGGCAACCTGAGAATGCAGCCAGTCTTTCTGCCAGCTGACCATAGAGCTGATTGGAGACCAAAATGGTGCCAATCATCTTTTTATAGTCTAAGAAATCGGAAGCTACGAGCATTTCATCACTTCAGTTTCGCAGGATATAAACAGCGCCATTTGTAAATTGGGAAAGCATCTGATCACACCGATATTGGTTTGATTAAATAATATAAGGGCAGAGGAGATATCTAGAGTCTGATAGAACCCAGATTTCTTAAAAAAGAATATGACAATGCCCATGTCAGGAATGGACTAGCCAGCAATGGTGGGACTCACCTGCCTTTTGATCTGCAGTACCAGGGCTGGCCAGCGGGTGCTCCCAGCAATCAGAGACTCAACTTTGCAGTCAGCTAACACCTGGAACTGATTATGCTGGGGTATTTAAGGGATGGCCAGACTTGCAGACTCGGCCTTGGTGTTGTGTTTCTCTTGGGCCCTGTATCCTGTTCCTGCTCTCTGTTCCTGTCTGATTCTCTGCTGACCTTGCTCTGATCCCTGGCTTGTCTGACCATCCCTCTGCCTGACCCTCTGTACTACGCTGCTTGCTACCTATTCTGATCCCTGGCTTGTGACCCTGACCATCCCTCTGCCTGACCCTCTGTACTACGCTGCTTGCTACCTGCTGAACCTGGCCTGTGACCCCGACCATTCTCCGCTTGCTCCCCCTGTACCTACCTGCCCAGTTGATATTGACCCGGCCTGCCTGACGACGCTTGCTTGTATGTACTGTTATCTGTGGGTGGTTGGTTTGGTTTGTTTGCACTGTATTATGTTTAGTATTGCACTGCGTTTATGTTTGTATTGTTAGTGTTAATAAATTATATTGTTTATCACATATCTGAAGTCTGCGTTTCCCTGCGTCAGTCACACACCTCTGGTCACACCTGGGAGCCCTGACATTACACCAAGGCCAATCCTGACCAGAGGTGGCTGCACAGGGAAGCCATCTTGGTTTGTTGATGGGAAGGATGGATCTGGATGAGGTTGCCTATTTATATCTGCTAGTGTTTGATGACAGGGAGTATGCTTATCAAACTCTGAGGGAGTATACCCGGGATGAACTGCTAGAATGTATACGGCTCGCTCATGTTCTAGTAGATCAGGGCACAGAGTTCTCTGAGGTGCAGCCATTGATTGAGGTTTTGCTGAGTTGGTTTCATCTGGTTCCCCCGAATGCAGGGATGAATTTTTGCCACCATTTAGTGCAGACCAGGTAGAGTCGCTGGTGTGGTTATTAGAGGATGATGTGGGTTACTTTCTGGAGCGTTATTCCACATGTTCACCACAGACACTAAGAGATTGTATAAACGCAGTGCAGTCTTTGGTCAGACAGGCTTTGTGTAAGCTCAGCTTTGTTCAACCCATACTGCAGACATGGACAGACTTGTTACACCCAGCCTCAGTCAGCTTACAAAGACCCAGTCCTGCTTCTAACCTATTTCCTCAAAGCTCTTCTCCTGCATTCCCAACAGCTCCTCCTGCCCTGCTATCTACCGCATGTCAGTACCCTGTTCCCACTCGCTGCACCTATCCTGCCTTTAACCCTGTAAAAAAGCCCTCTGTAGCGACTGTTCCTTCCTCTGTTCCATCCTCCAGCTCTTCTCTGTCTCCAGCTGCTCCATTCATTTGCAGACCTGCGTTTACTTGCAGTGCTCCAGTAGTTAAAACCAGAAAAAAGCGAAAATTCTTTCCAACCAGTACCATCCTGCCAGTATCCAAACCCGTGAACCTGCCTTCCGTGGTTCAGCCTGAGGCCTCTACTCAGCCTGATGCCCGTACTCAGCCTGATGCCCGTACTCAGCCTGATGCCCGTACTCAGCCTGATGCCCGTACTCAGCCTGAAGCCTCTACTCAGCCTGAAGCCTCTACTCAGCCTGAAGCCTCTACTCAGCCTGAAGCCTCTACTCAGCCGGATGCCTGCATTCAGCCTGATGCCTCTACCCAGCATGATGAACTGATGATCCAGCCTGACGATCCTATTAGGCCTGGTGACCTGATGCCCGCTGCCGAGCCAGACAATCCGGTACCTGATGACCTGGTGCCCGCTGTCATACCTGGTGACCCGATACCCGCGGTCGAGCCAGACAATCCGGTACCTGATGACCCGGTGCCCGCTGTCGTGCCAATTGACTCAGAGCCCGCTGTCGTACCTGGTGACTCGGTGCCCACTGCCTTGCCAGATGACGCGGTGCCCGCTGGCGAGCCAAATGACCTGATGCCTGGTGACCCAGTGCCCGCTCTCATACCTGGTGACCCGATGCCCGCTGTCGAGCCAGACGATCCAATACCTGATGACCCGGTGCCCGCTGTCGTGCCAATTGACTCAGAGCCCACTGTCATGCCTGTTGACTTGGAGCCCACTGCCTTGCCAGATGACGCGGTGCCCGCTGTCGAGCCAAATGACTTGATGCCTGGTGACCCGATGCCCGCTGTCCAGTCAGACGATCCAATGTCTGACCCAGTGCCCGCGGTCATACCAGTTGACTCGGAGCCCACTGCCTTGCCAGATGACGCGGTGCCCGCTGTCGAGCCAAATGACCTGATGCCTGGTGACCCGATGCCCGCTGTCCAGCCAGACGATCCAATGTCTGACCCAGTGCCAGCGGTCATGCCAGTTGACTCGGAGCCCACTGTCGTGCCTGGTGACTCGGTGCCCGCCGCTTCGCCTGGGGGCCCGAGACCTGTCGCTCCACCTGGGGGTCCGGCGCCCGCCGCTCCGCCTGAGGGCCCGAGACCTGTCGCTCCACCTGGAGGTCCGGCGCCCGCCGCTCCGCCTGAGGGCCCGATGCCTGTCGCTCTGCCTGGGGGCCCGGCGCCCGCCCCCCCGCCTGGGGGCCCGATGCCTGTTGCCGCGCCTAGGGGCCCGATGCCTGTCGCCGCGCCTGGGGGCCCGATGCCTGTCGCCCCGCCTGGGGGCCCGATGCCTGTCGCCCCGCCTGGGGGCCCGATGCCTGTCGCCCCGCCTGGGGGCCCGGCGCCCGCCGCTCTGCCTGGGGGCCCGGCGCCCACCCCGCCCGGGGGCCCGATGCCTGCTGCTCCGCCCGGGGGCCCGATGCCTGCTGCTCCGCCCGGGGGGCCCGCTGCCTGCTGCTCCGCCCGGGGGCCCGCTGCCTGCTGCTCCTGCCCGGGGGCCCGCTGCCTGCTGCCCCGCCCGGGGGCCCGGTGCCTGCTGCTCCGCCTGGTGGCCCGCTGCCTGCTGCTTCGCCTGGTAATCCGATGTGCCTCTGCCCGGAGTCCGGCCCGATGTGCCTCTGCCCGGAGTCCGGCCCGATGTGCCTCTGCCCGGAGTCCGGCCCGATGTGCCTCTGCCCGGAGTCCGGCCCGATGTGCCTCTGCCCGGAGTCCTGCCCGATGTGCCTCTGCCCGGAGTCCTGCCCGATGTGCCTCTGCCCGGAGTCCTGCCCGATGTGCCTCTGCCCGGAGTCCTGCCCGATGTGCCTCTGCCCGGAGTCCTGCCCGATGTGCCTCTGCCCGGAGTCCAGCCCGATGTGCCTCTGCCCGGAGTCCAGCCCGATGTGCCTCTGCCCGGAGTCCAGCCCGATGTGCCTCTGCCCGGAGTCCAGCCCGATGTGCCTCTGCCCGGAGTGCCTCTGCCCGATGTGCCTCTGCCCGGTGTGCCTCTGCCCGATGTGCCTCTGCCCGGTGTGCCTTTGCCCGATGTGCCTCTGCCCGGTGTGCCTCTGCCCGATGTGCCTCTGCCCGGTGTGCCTTTGCCCAATGTGCCTCTGCCCGGTGTGCCTTTGCCCAATGTGCCTCTGCCCGGTGTGCTGCTGCCCGGAGTCCTTCCCAGTGTGCCAGTCTTTGATATCCCACCAGTTACCAGACCCGGGCGGTGGAACATTTTGCCCAGCTAGGACTGTTTGGAGCGTCCTGAGGCCGCTCCTTGAGGGGGGGGTACTGTCAGGAATGGACTAGCCAGCAATGGTGGGACTCACCTGCCTTTTGATCTGCAGTACCAGGGCTGGCCAGCGGGTGCTCCCAGCAATCAGAGACTCAACTTTGCAGCCAGCTAACACCTGGAACTGATTATGCTGGGGTATTTAAGGGATGGCCAGACTTGCAGACTCGGCCTTGGTGTTGTGTTTCTCTTGGGCCCTGTATCCTGTTCCTGCTCTCTGTTCCTGTCTGATTCTCTGCTGACCCTGCTCTGATCCCTGGCTTGTCTGACCATCCCTCTGCCTGACCCTCTGTACTACGCTGCTTGCTACCTGCTGAACCTGGCCTGTGACCCCGACCATTCTCCGCTTGCTCCCCCTGTACCTACCTGCCCAGTTGATATTGACCCGGCCTGCCTGACGACGCTTGCTTGTATGTACTGCTATCTGTGGGTGGTTGGTTTGGTTTGTTTGCACTGTATTATGTTTAGTATTGCACTGCGTTTATGTTTGTATTGTTAGTGTTAATAAATTATATTGTTTATCACATATCTGAAGTCTGCGTTTCCCTGCGTCAGTCACACACCTCTGGTCACACCTGGGAGCCCTGACAGCCCATTGATGTTTTAGGGGATATTTGCATTCCCTGTGATAGTATTAAAAGTGATCAAAAAAAAATGAAGGGGAAAAAGCGTTAAAATAATTTAAAAAAATCAAAATAATTAAAAAAAAAAAAAAAAGTACCCTCGCCCCGCGTTTGTGTGCGTTGACCCTGTGCCAGTATGGAAACAGCAGTTGCACCATGCATGTGAGGTATCGCCGTGAATGTCAGATCAAGGGCAGTAATTCTAACACTAGACCTTCTCTGTAAATCTAAAGTGGTAGCTTGTAAAGGCTTTTAAATTGTTGCCTATGGATAGTAAAAATGTATGCAGTTTGTTTCCATTGCACGGAGCATGCGTAGTTTTAAAGCATGTCATGTTTGGTATCTATTTACTTGGCATACCATCATCTTTTATATTCTCCCAAATAATTGGCCAATATTTTGTGTTTTTGTGCATTAAAAGTTAAAAAAAAATTTATTTTTTTTTTAAATTGCGTTTGAAAAATCACTGCGCGAGGACTATGTGACATAAAAAATTGCAGCACCCACCATTTTATTCACTAGGGTGTTTGCTTTAAAAAAAATATATAATGTTTGGGGTTTAAATTAATTTCCTAGCAAAAAATACTGATTTTTTTTTTTTCATGTAAACAAAAAGTGTCAGAAGAGGCTTGATCTTCAGGTGGTTAGAAGAGTGAGTGACGTGTGGCATAAAACTTCTAATGCTGGGCATAAAACGCCCCCACCCCCAAAAATGACCCCTTTTTAGAAAGTAGACACCCCAAACTATTTGCTGAGAGGCATGTTGAATCTATAGAAGAATTTATTTTTTACCACAAGTTTTTGGAAAATTACAAACAAAAAATGTGTTTTTTTTGTACACAAAATTGTCACTTAAATGATTTATTGCTCACACATGCCATGAGTATATGTAGAATTACTCCCCAAAATACATTCTGCTACTTCTCCCGAGTATGGGGGTATCACATGTGAGAGACGTTTTGGCAGTCTAGCCAAGTACAAGACCCCAAAATCCAATAAGCACCAGCAGGCTTTTAAAGGGCTTTATTTCCTCATTACACTTCTTGACTACCTATCACAGTTTCAGAGGCCCTGAAATGCCAGGATAGCACCCCCCCCCCCCCCCCCCCAAATGACCACTTTTTGGAAAGTAGACACCCCAAGGAATTTGCTAAGAAGCATGGTAAGTATTTTGCAGATCTCATTTGTTGCCACAAGTTTGTGAAGTTTGAAGAAAAAAACAAAAAACATATTTGTTCTTTTCTTTTTTTTATATTTCAAAACCTTGTGAGAAAAAATTAGATCTGCAAAATACTCACCATGCCTCTTTTTAAATTCATGGGGGTGTCTACATTCCAAAAAGAGGTAATTTGGGTGGGGGGTGCTATCCTGGCATTTCAGGGCCTTCAAAACTGGGATAGGTAGTGAGGAAGTGAAATGAGGAAGTTACGCACCTTCAGGCTTTCAAAGTGGTCATTGGATCTCATGCTCCTGTATGTGGCTAGGCTCCCAAAAAGTCTCACACATGTGGTACCCCCATACTCGGTAGAAATAGCAGAATGGGGTGTAATTCCACATATACCCATGGCTTGTGCCATCATTTAAATGGCAACTTTGTGTAAAAAAAAAAGAAAAAAAAAAAAGTTTTTGGCATTTTCCAGAAACTTGTAGAAAAAATAAATCTTCCATGGACTCAATATGCCTCTCAGCAGATAGCTTAGGGTGTCTACTTTCCGAAAAGGGGTCATTTGGGGGTGTTTGTACTATCCTGGTATTTTAGCACCTCAAGAAATGTGATAGGCAGTCAGAAAGTAAAAGCTGTGTAAATTCCATTTTCTATGCCATAGTTTGTAGACGCTATAACTTTCAAACAAAGCAATCAATATACACCTATTGGGATTTTTTAACCAAAAACATGGAGTAGAATACATTTTGACCTAAATTTATGACGAAATTTTAGTTTTTTTGGAATTAGAAAATACCGTTTTTTTGGAAACATTTTTTTTCCGAAAACATTTTTTTGTTTATAGCTCCAAAAATAAAAAGCACACAGGTGATCAAATACCACCAAAAGAAAGCTCTATTTGTGTGAAAAAAAGGACATAAATTTCATTTATGTACCGTATTGCATGACTTTGTAATTGTCAGTTAAACTAGTGCAACGCTGTATAGTAAAAAAAAAAGGCGTAAATTACAGTATCTATACCATAGTTTGTAGACACTATAACGTTCACACAAAGCAATCAATATACACTTATTGGGATTTTTTTACCAAAAACATGTAGCAGAATACATTTTGGCCTAAATTTATAACAAACTTTGAGTTTACTATAATATTTTTTATAGCCAAAAGTAAAAAAAGATAGTTTTTCTTCAAAATTTTCTGTCTTTTTTTGTTTTTAGCGCAAAAAATAAAAAGCGCACAGGTGATCAAATACCACCGAAAGAAAGCTCTGTTTGTGTGAGAAAAAGGACGTAAATTGCGTTTGGGTACAGCATTGCATGACTGCGCAATTATCAGTTGAATTAGTGCAGCGCCGAGTAGCAAAAAGAGGCCTGGTCAGGAAGGGGGGTAAATCCTCTAGAGGGCAAGTGATTAAGGAATATCACTTAAACCTTCTTAAGCTAAAGGGAAGAATCTTGCTCTACGTTCGTGGATGGAGAGTCTACCCAAATATCCCAGTATCCCAGACCTTATGGAATTTATGAGGACAACCCTGTGATAGGTAAGTAGCCTTATACAATGAGATTATAGAATTTATTAACCTCTTCCAGCAATTAGAGGTGGGGACATCTGGAGATTTCCACTTCAACACTATAGCTTCTCTAGCATAAAACAATAAAATTCCTTTTAAGTTTCTGGAGGCCCTACTGTGTGCCAGAGAGTCGACCAGCCCCAACAGGCATACATCCACTGATAATGATACCTGAATGGTGGTATCCGAGAGGATACAGGCGACCACTGATCTCCAGAAAAATTGAATATGTGGACATTGCCAAAAAATATGAATGAAGTCGCTCCACATCGCCAACAATCAGCAGAAACTGAGGAATATATTCTATGGAGACGGATCGGGGTGCAGAATTTAAACTGTATCAGTCTATCCTTAACAGAAACCAGATGCTGAAAGAAACATTCTCATACATCTTCCCAATCTTCATCGTCCAGGTCTGGAAAATCAGCCAGCCACTCCGTTTTAAGAGCTTCAAGTCCCTTATGGACAGAGGGAAGCATTTTCTTATGTATATATTAGATAGAGGTTTGCCTAAAGTTTCGTCTCTAAGCAAAGACTCCAAATCAGATCTATAAAAGGCAACAGGTGTTACTGGAAATTGAGTATGAAACGCGTGTCTAAGTTGTAGATATCTAAACAAAAATGTATTTGGGAGGCCATATTGTTTCAGGCTGTCAAATGTGCATAGTTCTCCCCCAGAGCATATTTGATCAATGTACTTCATGCCTTTCACTGCCCAGACATGTGGGTCAGGGATCAGAGCAAATTCAGGCAACCTAGGGTTACACCATAATAGGGTATTTTGAGAGAAAAGTTCCTCAG